GTGTGGGGTGTTGTTTCTAATCTGTGGCTGAGTTGTGTTGTGTTTGTGCATGTGTGGACGTCTGTGTGTGACCATGTATTTATTGTGTGTTGGTTGTGTGTCTGTGGCTTGGCAGTGTCGTGCTTGTGAGTCAGTGTGTCTGTCTACGGTGTGTGTGTGGGTGAGGTGTGAGCATCTGTGTGTTGAGGGACCCACACTCCACAATTCTTGCTGCACGGAATCACAGCCTCCCTCCTCCGGGCCCCGCTCTGATTCTTCAGAACCTCACTTCCCCATAGCACTGGGGTCCCCTGGGGGCTGTGAGGCTTCTGGGGCTCCCCTCAAGGTGCTGGCCAGCACACTTGGGTATGGGGAGGCTTCCTCTTTGGGGGAAACCGAGGTGTGATGGTCACAGGGATTGCTTCAGGCACACATCGAGGTTGGGGGCATTCCCAGGGTGAAGACATGCCAGCTTTTGGCACGGATTCCCCTGGCTGGCAGGGGAGGAGGTGCCGTGCTGGGACCCCAGGGGTGGGGAAAGTGAAGGGCCGTGGGGGAAGCACTTGGGCTAAACGGGGATCACAGTCTGCTTTTCCCCGTGCCGTCCACTTGCGTATATCACCTCTCCTCCCCTGGCGCCCCAACCCTGCCCCCCACCGCCTAAGCTGCCCCACAATTCACACACATATGGGTGCAAAACTACCTTCTTGTGACCACGCAGATAGACCTTCAGGACACGATGCTCGGTGAAAGAAACCAGACTTCATAGGACACACACGGCAGGATTCCACTTGCAGGGTCCCTGACGCCATCTGTGACATCCACAGAGACCGGAAGTAGAGGGGGTGGCGCTGGGGAGGGGCTGGGAGTGACAGTAGGGGGTGGAATTTCCACCTGGGGAGCTGAGAAAGTTCTGGAGAAGGGGGCAGCTTTGTGGGCCGCACTGTAAATGTGGTGGACGCACTGAGTTGTACAGTTAAATATAATTGTGATGGACAATTGTATGTTGTACGTATTTTACCACAATTTAAACGAAATAAAAGAGCCAGGCACGGTTGTGCACGCCTATAGTCTCAGCACTCAGGAGGCTGAGACAAGAGGATGACAGTGAGCTCAAGATCAGCCTGAACTACATAGCAAGATCCTGTCTCAAAAAAACAAACTGAAAGAGCGCCCCTCCTTTCTCTGTACCCATGGACCACGCTTTGAAGCAGCAGTGGTTTCCGGCAGGGTGGGGATGGGGGCATCGATCCTCTGCCTTCTGGAATCTAATTGATAGATGCCAAGAATGTTGATGACACCCTGCAAAATGCACAGGGCAGCCCCCTAAACAAGGGCTTATCATCCCTAAGATCAAAAGTGTGGAAAGGGCAATCCAGCTTCAAAGTCACCTCCTCCTGGGCCAGATGTGCTGCTGCACACCTGGAATGTCCCCGCTCTGGGAGGCAGAAGTGGGGAGATCACAAATTCAACCCCAGCCTGGGCAACTTGCTGAGTTCTTGAAATCCTCTCTCAGAATCAGAAGGGCGTGAGGGGATCTGAGGGTGTTGTTAGTGCAAAGATCCTGGGCCACCTCCTCAATACAAAAACAAAACAAAACAAAAGCAGCCACTCCTTCTCCCCTGAAAGCCCTCCTGGATTTGGGATGCCTACTGCCCTTCACCTCCTAGCCCCCACCACACCCCTCTTTTCTGCTTGGAAACACCAGGAGGGCCTGAGCCCGGCCGGAGTCCCGTTGAGGCTGAGTCAGGGTCCCAGGACTGCTTGGTGCCTTTGCAGAGTCCTGGGAGCTGTCCCGGGTGCTGAAGCGGGCCTTAATTAAGGTGATGTCAAGGCGGAGGCACGCTGGGATTCCAGCTGGGAACCGCTGAGGGCCCTGTAGGCCGGAACCGCTACTGGCTCCTGCTGAGTCCAGACCCAGAACGGTGGTGAGCAAGACCCCGTCCCGGCTGGGTGATCCCAACCTAAAAGAAGAACCAACCCTCTCGGGCCTGGGGCCCACATCCTGTTTTTTCCCCTGAGTGTACAAAGGGCAGGGGGCTGACACCGAAGAGGGGAAGTGGGTGGGACAGTCGTGTGACTCAGTCCCCAGGGCCCCTCGGGCATCTTCTGATCTGAGTGAAGTTCAGGCCAGGATCCAGCAGTCCAGCCCAGGAAGGACCCCATGGGGCTGTTGAGCACAGGGTGGGCTGGGGCTGGAACACCTGATCCTGCAGAATGCTGAGAAGCTCAAAAGCTCTGCCAGGCATGGTGGTGCATGTCTGTAGTCCCAGGGCTCTGAGAGGCTGAGGCAGGAGGGTTACAAGTTCAAGCCCAGCCTGGGGAACTTAGCGATTTTGCAAGACCCTGT